CCTTGAGGCACCCTTATACGGTTGTTACTATGGCTACTGTCTTTATAAAGGAATGGTGCGCTTGCATGGAGTTCTAGAAACCATTGTGACAGACAGGGACAAGATGTTCCTTAGCAACTTCTGGAAAGAGTTTGATGGGGACATTAGAGCATAGAAAGTTTATCAGAGGCGTGGTCGTTGATCTACGGCCACGATCGCGCCGATCTATTTTTAAGTCCTCATATGTATTTATTTTATTTATTTGCTTTAAGTATTTGTTTTAGTTGTTTTTCCTTTTTACCCCTTAAAGGTTTGTCAAGTGTAAGCCCTAAGGGCCAATTCGTCTTTTTATTTTCTCGTTCATTATATGAGGCTATATATAGCCCCCTTATATTTCTTTTGAAAGGCATGAATGAATTATAAAATTTTCTACAAATTGAATTCTTGTGAGAGCTTGAGAGGTTTTGGAAAAAAATCCTTTAGAGAGGGAAGCGGATCACCCATCAACCTTGGAAGAGTCTGGGTTCGTGGCTAGTTTCATCTTATTTCTCTTTTCCTCTTCCTCCCTCCCTTCCCACTCCATCCCACAACTCATTCCAAATCCCCAAACCGTCGGCCACCCTAGCCCTTCACCACCAAGCTGCCACTCCTTCAACCCACCATCACCATAGCACCGGCCAATACCATCCCTCCCTTTTTCCCCTATAGCCGCCAGCCTAGCACCACCACCCAATCGACCAACCTCCTCCCAACCTAGCTGCCGGCCTCTCACCCAAGTCCCTAGCTTAACCGCCGGCCCTAGCCCTTCCTCTTGCTTCCAAATTTCGAAATTCACCATTAATACTTTCCATATTTCACCCAACCTCATTTCGAAAGCTTTGGTTCCCAATATTCAATGAAATTTTGAATTTCAAAACTTTCCAAACATAGGAAACTATTTTAAGAAAGTTTTCAAAATTTAGCCCCTTTTGAATTTTAAAATAAATGGGAATTAATTAAGTCCTTCCTAATTTAATAATCCAAATCAAGAAGGCTTGATTTATTTCCCTAAGCTCCTCCCTCTCTCTCTCTCTATACCGCCAACCCCCCTTGGGTTCCATCCATTGAATATTTTTCAAACTTCAAACCCCTCTCTTGGAAATAATTCAAAACCTCCCCCTCTCTCTCTTACCCGCCCCTACTCTTTTCTAATCACCCCTAAATCCTTTCCAAGTTAAAAGACTAACTAGGAAAATAAATGCTTGATTTCCCTCCACCTTCCCTCTTCGAAAATCTAAACTTATTTTCTCCCCAAACCCCTCCTTTGGCCAGCCACCTCTCTCCCTCTTCCCCACTTGAATCCTTGAGAAAAACTTCTTTCTCTCAAGAGTAATCTTTAAAGGAAGCAAAGGTCGTCGTCTCCGACACTTCAACCTTACAAAATCAATGTATGGCCGATCCCGATCTTGACTCTGACTTCGTCTACAACGACCAAGGATTCATCGACATCCTTCAGTCGACTTTCTTCGACGTCAACACGGAAATAGACAATTCCGCCGAGAAGTACCTAGATCGTATCATCTTCACCCTATGATGCACCGACACTTCTCCTCAAAGAGGCGTGCAGTGTCTGACATGTATCCGACACGACACACATCCGACACGTGTCAGACCCACCGAAAACATGTCCGATTAAAAAAATATTAAATATAAATTGGACATGCATGTCCGACACACGTATCTTAAATTTTTTATGATTTTTTTTTAAAACGCGTATCTTAAATACAAATTTGATGGTCGATGTTAGCAATTTCTACACCCACAACTTGACATCACATCATTGTCCAACACCTTCTCAACATCGATGACCAACGCCCTCTCAACATCGATGATAAATGCCCTTTTAACATTGACGCCCAATATTTGTTGCATAACATTAATGCCCGATTGTCGACAGTATTATCATCTCCTCTCTCGATGACTGATAAACAACATCGATGCTCGACTCTCGACATCCTAATATTAATCATTTTAAGCTCAAATTCTAGTTAAATGCCTTATAATTTTTAATTATTTTTAAAATTATACTTATTTAATTTTTATACACTTTTTAAAATATAAAACTATAATACCGTGTCCAACCCATGTCCATGTCTTATATTTTCAATAATTAACGTGTCTGGAGTCGTGTCGCCGTGTCTGTATCTGTGCATCATAATCTTCACCTTGTTTGAAGCAATCGAAGAGCAGCTGGCCAACGTTCAGTGGCAAATCACTTCCATCCCATGACAAGGGTGAACTTTTCATCCTATTCAATTTCTCTCATAAACTTCTTCTCGTGTTAGGTTGTGATTCAAGCACAATGAGTCATGCAAAGCTCTCTGCTTTCGCTTAGTAAACGTAGGATTTGAGTTCTGTTTTTGTATGCTTTCTAATCTCATTATTAACCTAGGGATTCTATTGAAAATCTACTTAATTTGCATCGATTGAAATTCTAATTGCTTTGGTGATCCTAGCTTTCAGCATGTGATTTGGCCTAAGCAGAGCCACTTCTCTCTTGTTTTTTATTATCGTTTATTGGCTAACGTTTTAAATTCTTATTGCTCTTATTCAAAACGTGCAAGTTCTTAACGCATTAATTTAAAACATACTTAGTCCTACATCAGAGTTGTTTCGGTTATAGAGAACAGTTCTGAAGAGATGTACAACCTATCACCCCCAGACAAATGGCCATACAGAATTGACCAACAGAAGCATAGAGACATATTTGAGATGTTTTGCATCCAACACGCTAAAGAGATGGGCAAGGTGGCTTGCTTGGGTAAAATATTGGTACAATACTTTGTACCATTCAGAAACGAAGGCCACTCCTTTCAGGATTCTCTATAGGAGAGATCCACCCCATCTGATTTATTATGGGCAGAGCACTACGCATGTGTTCAATATAGAGCAGTACTTAGAGGAGAGAAATGTGGTATTATCTGAGCTCAAGGGACATTTATTAAGAGAACAATAGATCGTGAAGAGGAAGACTGATAAGCACATGAGAGAATAGAGAAGTAAACTTCGAGCCCGGAGATATGGTTTACTTAAAATTGAGGCCCAACAAACAAAAAACACTAGCTAGGCGAAGGAATGAGAAGTTATCTGCATGATAGTTAGGGCCTTATGAGATCTTGGAGCGCATTGGAGCAGTAACCTATCGCTTAAGGCTACCACTCTCATTAGCTTTGCACCAAGTCTTTCATGTCTCACAGTTGAGCAAGGCGATAGGAGAGCATATACCGTCATCGGTACTTTCGACGTTGATAGAGGACATGGAGGCCATTTTGGAACCTCTGGAAGTAGCGAGGGTGCGCAGAGGGGAGATCGAGACACAGGAGGTGCTAATCAAGTGGAAGGATGTGCTCGTGAAGGATGCCACATGGGAGCCATATGGGACAATAAGAAGACAGTTCCCAACTTTCCACAATGAGGAAAAGGTAGATTTTGAGGAAGTGAGTATTGTTATGGGGTAGACAGGCAATCGGCCTAGCTGGGGCCGAATCAGCAGAACCAGGCGGGAAGAGTTGGGCGGAACAGGAAGCAGGTTCGGCCCCCCTTGTGGGGCTGATACGTCTTGGTATCAAAAAAAGCCAACGAACAAGATAAATTCAACAAAATAGTAGTTTTTTATTGATAACAATGAAGCAAGATACAAGGATCCTCTTTCAAGAGGAGAATATTCTCTCCCAAATCCTACACGCCGCTAGGATCCCTCACAAATTAGTGGACACCAAACAAGCACAGACAAATTCTGCATAGAAACATAACATAAATCCTACTACTTATAGCAAATAATAAAACAACAAATTTCAAAACAGCCCTCCCCCAAATCCAGCTCAAATCAGCCCCTAAATCAGCCTCCAAATCAACCCTCTCCAATTAGAAAATATCTCATACTTAATCCCCTCCAATTCAGCCCTTTTTTAATTAAGAAATATCTCCTAATTAATCTCATTCAAATCAGCCTTCTTCCTAAAGTGTTTCCCTCCTCAATTTGAAAAGAATTTCCTAATTGATTTCCTCCTAATATAATGTATCAATTCTTTATTGGGACCCACCCCCTCAATCGCCTCTCTCTCCTTGCCGTTGGCCCCACCTGGGCCGGATTTTGCTGTTGGACCGGCCAGTCCAGCCCTGCTTCCACCGTATCAGGGACCCAGCAAAGCTTTGATTAAATACACTAGAAGAGGAAATAATGAGGGAAATAAGAAAGGAAAGAATTCTAATTTTGAAAAAGAGAAAGATGGAAAAAAATTAATTAAGGGAGCTGTTTTGGGGGGGGGAATTAGGTAGTTTACTGGGGGTTGATTCTAGGGTTTTGTTTTTTCATGTTTAGTTTGGGTATTTGCTGTAGTTTTTCTGGAGTTTGCTCTTGAGGGCTTTTTACCGGCGTCTAGGTCGAGCAAGAGAGACGATCTACTTCTCTAATCGTAGATCATTGTACCTTGCTTTGATGTTGGAGAATTTATACATAAATCAGCCGTTGTTTCTCAATTTCTGCTATTTTTATTATCATTTCTTGCTGATTTCATATTGAGGGCGTATCAGATACTATAAGGGCTACATGATAAAATTACAAGAAAACTATGTGATTGAACTTGATGTAGCTAATTATGTAATAGACAAGTATACTTGGAAGCTGCCCATGAGGTGGGAACTTCGGGTGAGTTTTTTAGTTGAGCTTGAGTACTCTAGAAGACTTTTTTGGATAACACACCTAATTGGCTTAGCAAGTATTTTGGACATGTAATCAAGTTATGACCAAGTAGCCTTGATGAGTAGGTGAGTTTGGTAGATGAGTTTTGCTGACTAATAAGTTTTCTGGTTTGTACAGTTATTAAGAAGTAAAGCAAGCTGTATGAATATTGTAAGGTTATTAATGATGGACACAGGATCAACAGCATAGCTTTGTGAATTATGGTTCCACAAAATCATTATTAAGCTATAAAAATGACTCTTCGGATAGGCAGGAAAAGTTCCAGTAAGTTCAAACGCACCTTGACAGTGATAGCAGACCAGTCGTTGGGGAGGTTAAGTGTGATGATATCCTTAGTCTCGTCACCATAGGCTAAATATCCAAAAATCCCAAAGCTAATATATACTAGTGTTATAGTAATAAAAGCCAAAAGTAGCACCCATCGAAATTTTCTTCTATCAGCCATTGAAGCCTCAAGTGCCAACGTCATGCTGAAGCCCTCAAAACAGAAGACAGCCACTCCCCCTGCGAAAGGTAACCCCCAAGTCCCATTGAATGCACCCCTTTCCAAAGAAAATCTGTCAAACAGTTGAAAGTCTTCCTTGATAACAATAGCCATCGCAAGGACATTGCAAGCATCTGCAAACGCACTAAATGGGGCAATGGAAGAAAGAGAACGAATAAAAGACAGAGCTAGCTCAATGGGGAGAAGTAGCAAGAAAATGAAGATGGAAGGTGGTATTATTGACCGGCTGGTATTGGTGAACAAAGAGGAAAGATTCTGGCCAATAAAGACTAGATAGGCGACAGAACCCCCTGCTTGTGAGATAAGTACAAGGAACTCAGTAAGGTATCGGCCTGTTGTTCCAAAGGCCTTTGCTCCCAGATCCCCATAACTTTGGATATGGGTTGCATCACCAGTCTCTTCATCATCATTTCCTTCTAATCCATCTCTGCATTGGATCTGTAAAAATAAGGAAAATGCTTTTTTTATTGGGAAAATGGAGGCAGTCTGAAAGAACCAATCTTGTTAGTTCCAAGACAAAAAAGCGTAAAAACGCATGTAATTCCTGCGTAATGGTGAACAGCACAGTTGCAAGGTTAACTTGTTCTAAAGCCTTGAACGGATAAGTAGATATTATACTGAGGAACTGTTAACAGGACAGAAAAAACAAAACAAAACAAAACTACACCTAAGAAACACTACACCAAGAAACAGGTCCTAAAGAACATTTCTCTTTCTCATGATTGATTCCTACAACAACAAAATAAAACTGAGTTTATACAACAAAAAGATTCAAGCAACTTCTACTTCCATTATTTATAAACATTTAAGCCGTTGCTGTGAGATGTGTATTCACTTTGAGAAATTTAAAAAAATGCACATTCAATTCTCATTTTAAACTTAGTTCTATCATTTTAATCCGCCATTCCCATCAGGCAGATTCAGTTCTTAACTATCGACAAAGGAAAAAAGGAAGCCAGCAAAGTTTGGAAGTGTGCTGAAAAGAAGGTTCCAAATTTGTGAGTATGATAGCTCCACATAAGAAAAAAATACTTAATCAACATGGAGTAATAATGGATACCAACTGTTTGGTTTATGAATTAGTAAATAAAGACAGATTAACGCAGCCCTGCAAATCTCTACTATGAATATCTAGTGTATTTTAAGCCAAGAAATTTCTTGGTTGCCAAACTTTGTTTACCATTTAAACTGTCTGACTTTGATTAACTTAATCCATTAAAAGGATTGGAAAATTTAGAGTTTTGGAATTAGATTTGGAATATACTCTCTGATCTGATAATTTAGCAGCACTTTCAATGAGACGGGAATGAAAATAAAAAACATTCTAGGAAAGCCTCATTGGTCGATGTTGGAATGGCAAGCCTAACCACCTTTCAGGGCAAGTAAGTCTAAACTCAGAACAGCTTGTAATCTAACGACCGGCAACAATAACAATTTAGTGTTATTTCAGGAAAAAAAAAAACATTACATCATAATGAAATGGGCTCATTCAGCACTAATTAGGGAATTAGTTAGTTGATTAAGAACTAATTAAGTGGCAGGGCAGATTGCATGTACAAGTAATAAACGGAAGAAAAATAGGGTTTAATACGGAAAGATGATATGAATTAGTTAAGCTCGAATAATATTAATTAGGTTAAGGGACTAACTAAGGACATAAGAAACACATTGTAATTGTTTCCAGGCTAGCCCAAATTAAGGGGGTCTCCAAGACAGGAAAAAAGAGAAAGGTAGAGGGTCAATAAAAGGAAAAATCGCTAACCAGGAAAATCAGAACACGATGTCCATGAAAATACAAAACGCATCTGGAAGTTAGACAGATCGATGGTTAATCACATGCATCTTGCCATCAAATTCAGACCCCGTTTTCTACATCTTTTAACTCAATCAACCATCTCAAGCTCTACATCAGAATTAATCACCTAAAGCAACAATAAAAAACATAGAAATCCCTACGGCTCTGACAAGTTCTCGTCGAATCTATTAGGAAAAGATATAATGAGCGATCGTAAAACGAAGCAATTACTGACGAGGAGGAGCATGCAGAAATAGGTAGAGACGCCGGCGACGGCGACGCCCAGTGAGCCAGCAAGCCATCCAGCCACGCGGAAGGCGTAGGGGAGGCCGAGCACACCCGTCCCGACAATTGACACTACGATGTTACCCAGCGTCTGGGCCGACGTTGCCTTGCCGGCTGTCCTCCGCTGTCCCGTCGATGGCGGGCCACGTAATAGCGGCGCCGTCGACGATGAATCTACGGTCGCCGCCATGCATTCACACGGATGTCGGAGCTTGCCCCAACCTCAGAACAGAAGGGGCGCGTTCTGATGTAGATTCACGTGAATGCGGAAGCAGAGCATTTTAACATGTGTTAAACTAAAAATAAGCACCTGAGAGCTTTTATTGAGCGAATGTTACAATAAATTATTACTTAATTATTATAATTTAACATTAAATTAATATTTAATCTTATCGTCTTAGTTCCAACAGTTTACGGTAATTTTTTAACGGCTTTGGTTTTTAGCATTCAGTATCACAGCGATATTGTGCTATTATTTTTTATTTTTAATGAAAAGTAAAATTTGTCAAGATATTATAATTATAATTTGGCAAATTGATTAATTAATTAATTTATTTATTTAAATTGAGCCTAATAATAACTTATTTAAGCTATTTATTTATTCATTTATTATTTTGAATTAATATAAACCTAAATTTTTAATTTTTTTTCAAATTTATTTATTAATTTAATTCAATCTAAATTAATCAATTATATATATATATATATATATTGCTAAATAAATGAATTGATGAGTGTAAAATATAATTGATATAATTTAATATCATTTATGATGTTTAGTGAAATTCGTATATTTATAAAAATTAAATATACTCTATTATTAACTAATTATTTGATATTAACATAATTTTTTATCAATTGAATTTACTTTTAAATGACTATAATAGAGAACTTCATTGATTAATTATATATACTGTCCATTTTAAAATAAATATCATAAATAAAAATTAATCTTAACTAAAGTTAGATTTTTTTTTTTAATCTTAACAAAAGTTAGATGAATTTAACTTACCCATACAACTAGGACTATCAAATCGAGTTACTGGTCACATTCGGGTCAACCCGAAATTGATCGGGTACTATTTGACCTGACCCAAACCCAACAAGCTTCGGACCGGGGTCAACCCAACACGACCCCGCCAACCCGAGTCCGAAGCAATGAACAACAGGTAATATGTTGCGCATTTACATATCAAAACGAACAACAAGTTACAATTAAAACAAATCCGTTTACGCTTATGTTGAGCAGGTTAAAACAAACAGCATATAAACATAAAGTAATATGTTGTGCATGTAAAATTAAAATAAAATACGAATAACAAGTTACAAATCAATTGCTCATTTATATATCCATTGCTATTTTGTTTTTTTTTTACAAATCTTTTACAAACCAATTTACATAATACAAATTACAAAAGAGTTTACAATAAATACAAATACAAATTACAAAATATAAATTACATTTTGTTGATTTGCTCAATTGATGAACCAAAAAACTGCTTCAGCAATGTGTCTTCAAGCTTTATAAATTTTTAATCAGAGCCGGCGTCGATAGGTACAATGTATTCGATTTGGTCATAAATTTTTAAATTTTTTGTTAAGTAATTATAATAGTAATAATATATGTTATTACTTTTACTATATAAAATGATAAAAATGATAAAAATGAGAAAGAATGTTGCACGTCTCGAATTACGTGCAATTTTCTCAAAATTTATGTGCCAGTGCCTCGGGATTCATGCTAATTTCGTCGGACGAGTTTTGTAGGGCAAAATTATGGTATTCGATTTTTGGGTATTGTTGATATTTCAATTGCAATGGTGTAGTCTATTTTGTGATCAAATGTGGTTTGGTCAACGGCCGCACTTCAATTTTCTCAATTTGCACCTTGTTGCTCTGGGACCCGTCGATCTCCTCGTGTGAATACAATTAAACAAATTTATAGTCATTTTTGGGTATTGATTACGCTCTGAAGGCAACTATGAAGTCTGTTTTATGATCGCATGTCATTTGGGCAACGTCGTGTATCAATTTCGGGTGTCGATCATCTGTTTTAACTGATCTCGTTCAATTTGACTGCGAAGAGTTTTCTCTTAGGCGAATTAAATGCTCTAATCACAACGGTGCACTATGTTCGGCAATCGGATGTCATTTGACCCTTCAATGTGTGCTGCGCCGACACATGAGTTGTTGAATTCACCAAATTTGTCTCTTTTATGCGTATTTGGTATAGGGGTCATCAACTAATGAAAATATAAAATCATATAGTCAAAATGTACTACAACCTCAAAAGTTATGCGATGAAAGTTCACTACATCGAAAAAAAAAATATAATAAATATATAATAATAAATTCCATAATCAAAATATTTAAAAATAGAGATGTGATAAATGTTAGCTACAATAATCAGAATAATATTTTTAGTCCCATTTATGCAAAGTTCCTTGCTTGCATCAACCTTTGATGGTTTTGTTAGCTACACCAAAACTTAGACATATGTCCTGTAACTCTTCCTGTAGCTATGTGTACATCTTTATGTTTTCTATATATACCTCTGTAATATACTATTCTAATAATGAGATTAACTGCTTCTCTCTATTCTCTTTCCCGATTCTCTGTTTCTCATTCTTGCGTTCATCAAGAATTCTACATGGTATCAGAAGTTCAGCTTCGCTGATCTTGGACGACATGGACGACTCGTCTTCTTCCCCTCAGATCTCTGCTTCCACGGCCAGGACAAGCTCCGAATCTTCTGGCCTTCCCTCCTCGCTCAAATTCGTTCTGGCCAATCTCAAGAACTTCGTGCATTCCCCTCTTTCTCCGGACAACTATCCGGTATGGCGCTCTCAGATCCTTAAAATCTTGCGTGCAAACAGTTTAGAATCATTTCTTGATTCCACTGTACCTATTCCGCCCAAAAATGTTACCACCTCAGACGGTCTTACCGCTACCAATCCTTCTTATTTGAATTGGGTCTTTACTGACCAAAATCTTGCTGCGGCCATTTGTGCGACTATTTCCTCTCCGGTTCTCCCTTACATTCTTAACCTTGAAACCACCTCGTCGATTTGGAGTACACTTGAAACCCGCTTTCAATCTACCAATCGCTCTAGAGTCATTCAATTAAAGAATGAACTCAAAAATTTTCTAATTAAATTTGTATTTTTGTAACTGAAAAATGATAATAATTTTGTATTGGAAAAACTTTCACTTTTATATGTTATAGAAATTGATATTATGAATATCTTGAGTATTTATTTGAGATTTTATTATGTGTGAGTTTTAAAAAATAGCAGTTTTTATCTATTCACTATTTTATTTTGATATATAAAAATAGTATTTTAGTTTAATTAAATATTCATAGTGTTATTATATATGATCCCTAATAATTTGATTAATTTTTGAAAATGTGAATTTCTACTCAATAGGATTTTATGTTGTCTAATGTTAAAATATTGACACTTTTTTCAATTATGTTTTATTTACTCCAATGCATTGATAATGAATATGGATATACTATTATTATTGTTATAGTATTGTGATGATAATATGTGTATAGAAAAGACAAGTAAATATTGGTTGACCCAATGATTGGAGTTTAATTGACCTGCACAAGATGGTGAGTCTAAGGGCTTTTCTCTAAATAATGTGATTTGGTGTTATCCTCCACTGATTCATGTGATACTCATTAGGAATTATAAAGAGTTATTACTCTGGTGAGGAGCAAAGAGTGATAACTCTGTATACTAATCCAATGGTTACCGACTACTGATTATTGATTACTGAAAAATACCGTGATAGCCATAACTTCTTACTTGTTTAGAGTGACTATTTAAATCCATGTTATTGAGGCATTGTTATTATTATTATATTAATTTATTATTACTACATGAATTTATTATTATTGCATTCTTTTACTGTTCTTGTCATTAGACTCTTATGTCACCGATTTAGACATCGATATTATTTGATAATATTGATTCATTGTACTAATACTAAGCAAATAATAAACTGATTTGATACTGATATAGAATAACTTGATTGAATGTGTACACTCATATATAATTTTACTGCATTGATATGATTTCAACAATTTTTATCAATGCTTTAGTTTAACTGCTTTAAATAATTTTCTTACTCTGTTGATAATATTATATGATGACTACATTATTGATTCGACACCCGTATTGATTTATTGGGTTCCTTACTGTACTGTTTTATGATCTTCTATAATGTACTATTTATTACTTTATAAACTTTAATGTGTGCATATAAATTTTATTATTTCTACACTCATTCAATGATCATAAGAATGTTAATATTATGATTTGACTGTTGACATGCATCTTGCTCCTTTACCGTGCTTTGAATTCAATTATAGGATTTGATTAGTTGCTGAGCTCTTGACCTTATTATATGTGTTTAAAAGATTTTACATCAAGGCAAGGGAGCAAGAGTATGAGATTGACCAATATCCTTTAGGTTCATGTTTTTATTTTTTTAGCTATTTTTTTATATTCATGATAAGATATATATGTTATAATTGTATGGATTATGAGCAGTGTATATGAATTTTTGGGATATATATATGTGTGAGTATTTTGATCGATAGTTTTATTTTTACTGATATTTATATTGGTAAAAGAACTTAAGTAGATCTTATTATTGTTTATTAAAAGAGAAAAGGATAATTCTTCCAAATTAGATTTTGTGGCATTACAATTGATATCATAGCATAGTTGTTGGAAGAATTAATTTGTTACCAAAGCTATAGAAATTGATTAAATGTTTGATAGATTGAATAAATTAATGTGCATTATTTTTGCATACATAATTGTTTACATTTGTGAATTATTCATATCAAACAAAAATCGTAAAAAAGTAAACTGCAATGGATCTATCAGAGCAAGATGTATCAAATGAGCAACATAGTGTAACTCCAATGCCATCAGACAGTGTTATGCATATGGCCATTGTTATAGCACATGTAATGGGAAATGCATAGAGTAAGTCAGTTGGAAGTAAAGGAGTCAAGCACTTATAGACATTTCATAAGTTGAATCCTTTGCTGTTCAAGGTAGCTGTAGGATCTTAGGCTGCAGAAGACTGGTTATTAAGGATAAAGAAATTTTTTGACTGCATGCAGCGTCCAAGGAATAGAAATGTGCCATTGGTTGTGTTCTTTTTTGTGCGATTAGGTTTGTAAGGGGATATCACCAAAAAATATAAACTTATATCTCATGATTATGATCCTTGTTATATTTACTCATCTTCATTTAATTTTGCTCAAAATTTCATCACAATCCTAACAACTTGTATCAAACTTTTGATCCACTAAATAATATAAGCATGAAAGACAAAAAGGTTAAGATCGACAAATTTAATGGCCACATGTGGGAGGTCCTAAAATACTTCACATTCTCAAGATAAATTTCAAGATATAAAATCTACCAATTCTAATTTTTATGAAGTTTGAGTTTTAGGAAAGAAAGTAAAGATCAATTTCTCAAAATCAAAGAAATGTTTCTAGTTGCCTTTCTTATGTGCACATAGATAATAATGGAAGAGACAAGCTTGCCCAAAATCAAAGAAATGTTTCATTGGTTATGGTGCTGATAACTTTGGCTACTAATTTTGGGATGATGAAAATAAAAAAATAATCAAAAGCAAGAATGTTAGTTTTAAAGAAATTGAAATATATAAAAACAATCCAAACATGATTGAAAAAGAGATCACACTACATAACATATTAAATTAGAAGAATTGATTAATATTTGTAAAAGACTTGAGATAAAAGAAATTAATCAAGATCAACCTCAACACAATACTCATGAGATAGAAATCAAGAGATTACAAAGAATTTCAAAGCCTATTAAGTATTACACTCAATCACTATATTTGTTACTTATTGATGTGGGTGAACCTAAATTCATAAGTGAGAACTAACAAAAAAAAAAGAGAGAATTTCTCTCTATAAAAACACATAAAAATTAACTAAGCTATCTAAAGAAAAAAAAAAACTTTACAAAATAAATGTATCTATAAAATCAAAGAGAAGCAAATGGCATCCCAAGGTATTAGGTGAGGCTAGTAATGAAAGGCTTTCAATAAAAGGAAGCCATTGACTTCATTGAAATTTCTCTCATCTGGTTAAACTAGCAACTATATGATTACTATTGAGTATTGTAGCTGCAAGAGGCTTTCCTAGAACAGATGGGTGTTAACATTGTTTTTCTTCATGGAGATCTAAAGAAAGTTATCTATATGGCTCAATTTGAAGGTTTTGTTGTGCAAGGACAAGACAATCTAATCTCCAAGCTCAACAAAAGCCATTAAAGTTTGAAAGAAACCCCAATGCCAATGGTATCAAAATTTTGATGGATTCATGCAGGAATTTGATTTTCACGAATGCATTGTTGATCATTATTGTAATGTAAAAGACAATGGAAAAGTTTATATCATTTTGCCTTTATATGCAGATGATATGTTGATTGCAAGGGCAAACATTGAGAAATTAATAATTTTAAAATACAATCGTTTAAGAAATTTAACATGAAGGACCTAGGGGAAGCCAAAAAGGTTCTTGGAAAGAGATTAGATCAAGATAAAGCCATTAATATTTTGAAATTATCATAATTTCATTATATAAAAAAGGTGTTGAATATATTCAACATGATCAAAGCAAAAAATTGTAAGCACACCACTAGAAATTCAATTCAAGCACTCAATAGAACAACTACCAAAGATAGATGAAGAGAGAGACTGTAAGGTTAAAGCCCCTTGCACATCAGCATTGGCTCTTTGATATATGTAATGGTTTGTACAAGATCAGATATTGCACATGTGGTGGAGTTGTAAGTTGATATATGCCAAATCCATAGAAAGAACACTGAGAGAGTATAAAGTGGATCATACTCTAACTGAAAGGTACAATTAATCACACATTAATATTTTAAATGAGCTAACTTTAAAGTACATGGATATGTTAAAGGGGATCTAAGAGGAGACCTAAATACATGAATGAGTATTATTAGGCATATCTACTCCTCAGGTGACACTATTATTAATTGAGTGTCAGACCTATAAAAGATAGTCGATTTATCAATAATATTAGCTAAATATGTACATATCACAAAAACCAAAAAAGAGATGATTTACCTAAAAAGACTTTCTAAAAGAACTCAACCAGACACAAAAAGATGTTTCTCTACTCTGTGATAGTCAAAGTGTCAGTCAACCAATAAAAAATGTTGCTTTCCACTCACGAACAAAGCACATTTATTTTAATTATCACTACATACGTAGCTTGCTTGAAGATGTTTTGCAGCTTATCAAAATCAAAGGAGCAAAAAACTACATCGATATGCTCACAAAAATAGTATCCATTAAATTATTGAGGCTTCACAAAGCCTCAATTAACATCCATGAATGATGATTTGAAGATACCATATAGAGAGATGTTCAGATACCGACCAATAAAAATAGGTGCATCAAAAAAAATTATCTTCACCCAATGATGAAGATAAATTCACCAATAAATAGCGATAGCAAAAATGACAATAGAGACAGTGACAATCGACAGCAACAATGGCAGCCAATGGTGATCACAAATTCACAACAGGGTGTTCGCGAAGGCGACATGTGGTCAGTAATGGCTAACGGTGGCAGTGTCTATAAATGGGAGGCAATGATGGTCACTTGAGTTGAATTCAAAAGTATACTAAAATTGATCAATTTTGGAATACACCAAAAATGGCCCAGGAATAAATTCCTAATTGATCATATTTTACTTTAAATTTACTTTTCATCAAATCAAATACCTACATTTCTAAAACCCTTACATTTTCATATTTTATACCCAAAATCTTTCAAATCAAACAAACATTAAAAAATGTTCAGAAGTAGCAAAACTAAATCAAAGCAAAAGGTGTCTTACAATATCACATGGCAGACGATTTCATTCAGGCATCACACGAGCAATTTTGTTTATGCAAACTATAAGTACATGCCAAACTTAACAGAGTTGAAAGGCGAAAAATATAAATCATGAGATTAACATCAAATAGTTTAAGAGATGGCTTAGTTATAAAGATGCTGAACACGACTCTAATGTGAAAACAAATTGCCACTCATGAATTAAAGCTAAAACAAAAGTTATATAGCTCTTCTGTTATATCTATATTGTTTTTGAATGACCACATAATGAGTTTCTAAACATGCTTGGTTAATCTTAGGCTTCATTTGTTACAGATTCCTTATTATTTTTTAAAGCAACTTTTTAGTAAAAATAATTCTTAAACTAAATTTTTTGTACTGGAAAATTGCTTTAGAAAGTAGAAAAAAAGTTGTCCAAAATAAAGCCTTAGTATAATCATAGTAAGAAGCTTAACCTTTATCTTTCCCCTAGTTCAAATGGGAAAGAATATCTTCTAAGAAATTTCTTAAATTATACTCAAAACCTGGAGAGCATTTATGGCATGAAAATTCAATATTAAATAAAGATAAAAATACTAACCTGCAAAAAGGTGTCTTGAGTCAATGATGATTCTAAGCCATAGAGGATCACAAGCAGAACTTTGGATGGCCTAAGGAGCCTCACCTAATTCATATAGTATTACATTCTCGGTTTCCTTCAAATCAATATTTGTTAGGTATCATACAATGCATTAGTGTGTGTAACAAGAGAATTGGAGGAGAGTAGAAAAGAAGATGAAAGAGGCATCCACCACTTCCCTCTCTATCATTCTCTCACCCTCTAATCTCTCTCCATTTCTCTCTTGTAACTAAAGTAACACTTGCGTAATATATTCTAACCCCACCATGGTTTGAATATGAAAAAATGCCCTCAATATCCATGAGATCCATGCAATTTGAACACCATCTTCATGCTATAATCCAACTAATATACATCTAACACAGGAGTATGCTCATTGCAATTAGGCTTGTCTGTTCCAGCCAAGATAGTATGTCAATGGCCTCTTCAGGAACCAAATGTACACCAAATTCACAAGGAAAAACAGCAAGACACCAACAAAAAGAAAATAGTGGCGTCATAAATAACTTTACCAGGATATATTCAGTTCAGACACAGCGAGGCAATCGCTGCAACTCTGTGCTTAAATTTAAAGCAGCGTTGGAAATATTAGGGACGCATGAGTTCTTAAGATCTGAAAGCAGAACTTCTATCCGCATCACGTCTGCCATAGAAATTGAGAGTATCATCGCCTGTGATAAGTATTGCTTACAGGCAAAAGCAAGAGCATATAACAACCGCACCAACTTCAACATAGAGGCTTCCTCATTCAAACGTTCCAAAAGTCCACTTATTTTAGGAAGATTCGTCAAAAGACCCATCGTAGCTTCTCTTGATGCTGCTTTGACCAATAAGACGACACATTCAGATGCCAAATCTGCGATCTGTGTATCAGAATTACCAATCAGTTCTAAAAATGCACTCATGTGACAACTCAAATCAGATATATCCTCGATGCAACATTGCTGATCAGCATCTAGGCTTCTGTCAAAGACAGTGTGGCCTAGGAGAGCTGGTTCCTTACAAATGATTAATCCTTTATTGATTCCTATGCTACGCAGAAGGAATGCCTTGCAAAGACCAAGTGTTGATCCTAGGAAATCTTCCATTCCATTTGCATTCACAAACTCAAGAAGATTTCCAATCCTTCTAACAACTTGTAAATGAGATAGTATCCTGGTCTCCATCTCAGGAGAAGAAGCCAACGCAAGGCAGAGCTTCACATTATTGACATTTGCAAGAGAAAGATCACTCAGCAGAAACTCAAAGCACTCTGAAACTGTTTCAAGATGCAAAATGTCAGAGATTTTGATGTACTTATACTCAATTAGCATCACCAGAAGCTTTTGAGCATACATTGGAATGGGATCTTCATCCTTAATAAAATTGGAATAAAGAGGGAGAAAATGTTCCTCTGATATCACTTTCAAAGCCTTCAGAATCTGCCCATCATCATTTTTCAAAGCATCTGATGTGTCACTCAGAATCACCATCATGACATCAAACAATATTTTCAAACACAAAAATCTAGCATCTCCGTCTTTGTTACCCTTGTACAAAGTGGCAAGACCAGGAAGAATTCGACCAGTGAAAATTTTGGGATCATTAAGAATTACAGATGATTCCTCTGTGACTGCTTCAAGTATCCTCAACAAAGTAATCTGAAAATCATCTCTTCCCTGCATTTCATTCAAGAACAAGAACAAACTTTAATTTACTTCAAAGTTCTTCGAGTTCTAGCTCAACAAGAACTCTAAAAATTTTAAGAGATGAAATTTATTTTACAGTTTCTTGAAGACTCTGTAAGAACCATCGCATAGCAATGGATAATGAGGTAGAAGAAATAAAAACCAACTAGCTTAGCACATCGATTACCTGAAAAGGAGATTCTAAAAGCTTTCCTAGATTTGCCAGCTGGAACAAGACTTGGCTGCTCACTACTCTATGCTTGAAAGAAGAGCTTCCAAGAAGATTCAGAATAGCAGGAAATAGATCATATGTATTTTTTGTGTTGTTTCTTGCAGTTACAGAAGCCACAAATCCATGTCTTTTGCCTCCCATAATCTGCTGTATATCTCCAGAAACGGTTTCAAGTATCTCAGGCACTGTAGAAGAAACCATCTGCACAAAGGTCTCCATGCAGAGCTGAATAAAGCTGTCCTTCTCCTTCACCAATCTGTCCACCGCAGATAGTAATCTAGCATTGCAAAGAAATCGGGCAAACCACCTACGACTACTTTTGCAAAGAAGAGCAACAAATATAAGTGTTTTTCCACGTAAAACCTCATTTCCTTGCTCAATAAGTAATATTAGTCCTGGAACCAACTCATCCATCAATGTAGAAAGATGCCGCAAGATACCAGATAACAAATTGTTACTAAGAATAGCCATGTTAAGGAGGTTTAAACAAATTTGTTTTTCGCGAGGTTGACTACCCTTGACGACAGAAGAAGCAGTATCTTTGATTGAAAGCCTCTCAAAGATCAATTGTATGGTTGATGGGCTGAAATGAGCCAGGCGAACTAAACAAGATCCAGCAATAAGCCTAGTACTCTCCTGCTTGTTTGTGGCTTTATAAATGTAACAAATATTTTCAATAACATCATGGCTTGCAAAACGAGATGCCCACTCTTCCCCTTGACTGCATATGTTATCTATGGTTTTTAACGCATACAACTGAACTATATCATCCTCGCCCTTGCGCAAGATTGATGATACCAAACCAATAAGAGAATTTGACACCTGTTAATGAATAATCTATATGTAAACAATAGTTCAATGGCAAAAACAAGAAAACAGAATTTCAAAACTTGAATAAAGTAATGACAAATTCCTAACGAATTCCTACTGGTGTACAGCAAATCATAAAACCTTCCAACAAGATGATCAGGTGAAAAAAAAAGTTGTCACTAAGGGTATTGTTTTAAGAAGCCATTTTTTCTCCAATATGAAAACCCTCTTTGTGGGCTCCAAAAATTTGAGCTTTAGGGCCCCAATCTCTCCACACATATTCGAAAAGAATTTTAATGAATGATGTTTCGGGAAAAATTTTTGAAAAGTAAATTAAATAGAGATAAGACACTATCAAGATATTTCACCCTTTTAGTGAGGACTTTAAGATATGAGTTCTAGTTTCTTATAGGCACAAGCCCCTAATAATGATAGAGCACTTTCAATTAAGGCTAGTCATTAAATAGATACTTAGTATCCAGCAGATAGTAGCAACAGTTTTAAAATTAGATTTGATATTTAATATTAGAAATTTGTCACCTTGCACTTAAAGCAAATTGTGGGGAGAATAATGATAAACCCGATCAAAATCCCATGGTTCTGTCGTCCTGAATCATCATGGTCCCTAGTCTACTAAGTCAAAAGAGGTAGTCAACTCAATCTGACCGAAGGAACCTTATCGATAGTCATAGTTTGCTTCTTATAAGAGTATCTTATAGAATTGAGGTGAGTGTTTGTCTAAAAAACGAATTCAAGTCAACCTTAACTAACCGAGGCGGGTTGTGCCCCATCGATCATACCCTAATTCATTTCTCAATGATAAATAGCAAATAGGGAACATACGGGCTTTTAGCCATGACCATAATGCAGTGGAATCGCTCAACCAAGCCACTAAGTCAGAGGGTTGCAGTCATTTACCACGTTAAGCCATCTCGCCAAGCCACAAGTTCTGTGGAGTCGTCTGGCCAAGACACTTATTAGAGGACCAATCATAACAATTTAGTGTAGAGTCGTATGGCCAAGCTACGAGTTTTCTAGAGCCATCTGGCCAAGACACCGGCTAGAGGATGTCACGTCTTTACTAGCATAAATTATTTAAGAATGAATCTTAAATATTTTCTTGATTTGGACATTTACTCTTTGTGAGTTAGAGTTATTCTTAAATTCATCTCCCTTGTCAAATGGTTGTAGATTGTAAATGAGTTTTAAGAGATCAGGTACGAGAGATTGGGTGTGAAACCCTTTAAGTAAAAGAAGCAAAACTTTTAAACATCAAGGCACCGTTTGATATAATGGTTAGAATTTCATTTAAAAAACTCTGCAGTTAAGTGTGTTCATTCGGAGCAATTCTGGGATGGGTGGCCTACTGGAAAGTTACACCAACAAGACAAAATCATGAAGGCCAAAGCGGACAATATCTCTATAGTTAAGTATTTGGGCTGTTACAAATGGTATCAGAGCAATACACCAATTGAAAAATGGGAACTAGGTGTCATACAAGACAAAGTACTACATCATTGGAGCCACCTCTTGAACCCTAAAGGGAGCCGCCACTTGAACTTGTAGGGGACACCTCTAGAATCCAGTCTACCTGGTGGATAATTCTGAGATAAAGATATTGACGAAGGCGCTCGTTACTTAAATGGGGAGATTGAAGAACCCTTTAAGTAAAAGAAACTAAATTCTTAAACATCGAGGCATCTTTTGGTATAACGGTTGGAATTTTATTCAAGAAACTCCGCAATTAAACTTGCTCATCACGAAGCAATTCTGGGATGGATGACCTACTGGGAAGTTACACCAAAGGGACAACACCGTGAGACCCTTAGGCTAAAGCGAACAATATTTCGATAGTTAAGAGTTTGGACTGTTGCATTAGGTCTACGACTAGGAGCGGGTCAGTCGCCTTGTGTGTGCAGCTGGGAGGGCGATCGGATGCTAGGTGGTTGTACAGATGCAGGCAGGCACGTGTGTTGGAGGTGGAATCAGGCTTCGGGAAGAGCTCATGACAGAACGTTGGTGTCTCTACGTGCAAATGAATCGAATGAAGAGGGAGTTCAGATTTGAGAGTTTTGTGCTGTGAGGGAGTTCGTGAGGAAATTGTCGCATCATTTGAGAGAACTATTACGTGAGGTGGGGCCAACTGGAGACGAGATAGAAAATTAAACAGAATGGGAGCTCATGATGGTTTGATTGTGTGTGTGAAATTGGGTCAATGGTCAATAATCATTTAAGTTTAGTTTATTCGTTATCCTTTGTTTCTGTTAACGGACTAGACAGTACATGACCTGAATTTGCATGGAATAGTAGGAGGTACCGGATTGAGATATTTGGCAGGGTTTGAATAGAATAGCATTTTATAAGTTTTTATTTATTTATTTATTAAGGTTCATTTTTTGGCATCATGTGATGACCCATACAATATTAAAATCATTTCTAGATATTTTTTATGTTCCAGACTCAACAACGAAGTTTATTTTGTGAATGTACGACATTCAGGCAACATTGAAAAATTTGTCGCCCGTAGTCCGGCGATTTCGATCGCTTTCACTTAATTTGATTGCGAGAGGCCCCCTTAGGTTAATGTGATGCTTTGATCCTATCAGCGCAATCAATTGTTACTTTCATTTTTTGAGTAGTTTATGGAGTATATATATAGGTCAACAAATGCCCCTAAAGGGATTGTTTGAGAATTAAGAAGCCATTTTTCTCCGGCAGAAGCTGGATGATGGTCAATATACATAGCTTTCATATAAAATGAAAATTGTTAAAGAACATGAGAGTATTGAGTTTAGTTTCCTATATCAAATAGATGAACAACATATTGGGTATAGAAATACCAAATGATTGGCTCTCACATATATGCTTAAGCTTTTTAGGTTGAAAATAAATTTGATCACGAGTGCATATAGCCTAACTTTAATCCTCCATTTTGGTTTACATTCCCTAACATAGAAGAGGAATATACCAGAAAGAATATGAATGGTATTCAAAAAACTGACCTGCCAACCAGTTGATCGTTTGTCCTTTGATGGGGATTCAGCAGCACAGTTATCTTTACCAACAGTATAATTCAGCGTAGATATATAGAAAAGCAGCTCTCCCAATGCGGCCATAGAGAACCTCCTCACTTTGTCTTGCTTATCCCTTAATCCATGTACGAGTGCATCTATAATACCAGAACTTGCTAACTCAGTTTCAATGTAAGTGGAATGGCGAATAAATAAGCCTACCACTGATGCAATCTGCGCACGCAGTATGGATGACTTTGGATGCCGCAGCATCTTTACAAGTGACAGCATTATTGCTCCATTCATTATTAGATTTGCGGCATCAGAATTTGAACTTAATATTTCTAAGTATTTGATAATTTTCTCTGAATTTTGAGGGCTCCCATTGAGACCATGAATTATTTGAGTATTAAGAGCGCTTAACTGTTCAGGCAGCAACTTAACATATTCAGATGCTGTTACAACTTCAAAAGAAAGAGACGGAATTGCATCCGATGTTTTGCTGCCCTTACGGCTAGGCATCACGGGCTTGACTGAGAGATCTGTAGGATGCCAAAATACTTCAAAGATATTAGAAGAAATCCTAGATGACTCTGTATCAGGGTCAGCTGCAGAAGTTGCTTTAGAGCGATGGCCCATTCTTTGAAGATAGACACTTGAAGGAGTAGCACCAATTTCATTTTTTTCAGAATGAGAATCATTCTCAGGTTTCTTTGAGCCTTCAGGCATTACACAAATATCACAAGTTGCATCTTGTTGGCTTAAGTCGTTCTCTGTTGCTCGAGTATCCGGAATGGAATTATCTATGGGAGGTTTTTCACTAAGACAAATAGCAGGATTCTCAGAAGCATCAGTTTCATCAGATGGATCATCCTCCGGGATTTCACTAAAATCAAGTTCCATGTCAATGTTATCGATTTTCACTTCAGCATTGTTCTCACATTCTCTAGGAAGAGGAATCCTGTAGTTTTCCTTTTCCTTCTCTCTTTGAAGGTTCAATTTTGCCAACCTTGAAAGTCTAAGAATATTGATATCCTTTCCAGCATTTTGAACAACTTTTCTCTTATCTTCAGTGACTGCATCAGCAGCTTTAACTTGGACTTTCCGTGTGAAGTTTGAATTTTTCGGAGGTGTCTCAAATATCTTTTTCCTTTTAGAAGAACTTCCATCATTTGCATTGTTTTGTCGGCCTTTTGAAGGTGTGCTCTGCTGTGAAGGTCTTTCACCATTTCTTTCTGTAAGCAATGATTTAGCAGATAAGTGAAGCATGTTACTGAAAGCATGCTGAGGAGGTAGAGAAACAGATGTGAGCTTAGTTCGCCAAAATCTATGTTCACAAAGTTCAGGCCAACTTAACCTTTCTGATGGATTTTTAATTAACAAACTATTGACCAAATCCACAAAAGCGTCAGACGGATTATTAGGAAGATCTGGGGTAGAATCTAAGAGAATAGATTTTGCCAACTTAGTAAATTCATCTCCTACAAAAGGAGGCTTTCCAGCAAAGCATTCATACAATACACAACCTAGTGCCCAAAAATCAGAAGCATAAGAATTCACTCCTCCATCCTTAAAAAGCTCCGGAGCCATATAGCAAGGAGTGCCTCGCTTGGCCTGTAGCACCTGTTCACAAAATACAATTTCTTTAACCACAAAAGAAACACGTCATGTAAATATTGTGCATAAATCAAGAGCTTTCCAAATGCATAATCAAAGGGAAAAGAAACCAACCATGTCACGAGAATTTTTCTCTATTTCATTTAGCCTTATTGCCAAACCAAAATCACAGAGCTGCAATTGACAATACGGCAACAAGAAATAAGATTAGATAATTGTGAATTTCATACTTGAAATAAAAAATTATTATATCATCAAGTAAAATATAAATAAATTACCTTTATATGTCCATTTTCATCTAGTAAAATGTTTGATGGCTTTAAATCACAGTAAAGTATTCCTTTTGAGTGAAGAAACCTAGAAATGATAATATCAACATCATTAGCAAATATGAAGCCATAAAGTTGAAAAGCAAGCAGTTCTAATAGCAAGTTTGAAGGCATGATAACAATTACTGGACAGCCTTGACGATATCATGAGCCAAGTCATGTATTGAGTCTTCCGGAAGTCGCCCATCCTGCAGAATGATTTATCATTACAAGCACATGCCACTTCAAAAAAAGTTACAACAGTGAATATTGTTGCATTGTGCTGTTTGAATTATTCTAACAATTATCGTATTACTAACATTAATTGTTCAAGTGTACAGCGAAAAACAAAATCAGAATGTGGCTAACTGTATGAAACAGAAAGTAATGAAAGCAAAACTAGATCTAAATCAAGCGCTGTGCATGCCCAAAGTTAAATGTAAGTTGTTTAATGTACCAAAAATTGATGCCTCGCCCAAACAAAAAATGAAAATCTTTGTCCAATAAAGGGTATGATATAAGAGAAGCAATTTATATAAATGCTCAACTAAAGATAAAAACAGAGTTGAAAGGCCTCAGACCAGCAAAAAATTTGCAAATGACGCAAAGCAAGTAAATATTACGCCTATACAGGCAACAAACAATGAACAAAAAGGCAATTCATTCAAGCCCTAAAAATGGAAATCCAATTAAAAGTTGAAAGTTTGTCAAATGTTCTGATGACAGGTGACTGACGTTGGTGTTCCCCTTTTTGGGAGGCGGTAGGGTGTTGGGTGATTGGCCAAATGTTATAGGTTACTTCAAGACATTGGTCCATTAGTGATGGAAGTATGACAAACCAGAAAATTAGGGAATAAAAATCCACCAACCATGCAAATATGCTGATACAATTGTGGACCCCACCTCATTTCAAGAGCCAAAAGGTTCTTGTTTTGTGGGCCCCAGCACCTCATTTCAGACTTATAGGAGGAAAAAGTTTAAGGGTAGATCATTGGAGGGAATGTGAGATGCATTTATGACGAGAAAAGTTTAAGGGGAGATCATTGGAGGAAATGTGAGGTGCATTTATGGTGAGATTAGGGCTGGTTTTAAGGAGAAAGGTTTGTATGTGGGGGGGGGGGGATTATGTGAAGAATTTTCTAAAGTTGTTTTTCTTAGGTTATTTTGAATTTTTAGTTGCTGCTAGGAAATTGGGGGAGAGCTGATTCACCTCTAAAACAGTGCATCAATTATATCTTGTCATTCTTGTGTTTCTTTGATTGAAGATTGTTATTTCAACTTTATTAGTGTTGTTCTCGCATACCATCATTGTTTTCTCTTTATTTTGGCCACAATTTATTGTTATTTGATGTTGATTTCGCTCTAGTGGCAGTTTTAGGTGCTGATTTGATCTCCAAAACATATCATATGCATGTAAAATACAGAAGGAATATAAGAGAGTGAGAGGCAAGAAGACATACTTCCCACAAGGACAGCCCTGAAACTTCAAAGATCAAATAGGATGTTATAAAAAATGTTGTTGTAGAAGCTGGGTTGTGCACTTTAAAATGAAATAAGAAACACAAACTATAATATAATTCAAAATAATCTCTCTATAGAATTATTTTAGATCAAATTTGAAAAGTCAATAAACTATTTTGGATCAGATCTGAGAAATCAAAAATATTACATTGGACATATGAGATAGTCGGAGATTAAAATGATCATCTATAAATAGTCCACTGACCATTTTGATCTTTTTTTCTCAAAGTGAAACTATTATAAAAAACGTTAAAGTTAGTAGATTAAAACATATTATGATGTGATAAGGATGATGATGACGATAATAATAGAAACTCATACTGTCCGCTTCATATAAGCTTAAAACTAATTGACTGGCTCAAAGTCCCTGCATTAAGTTGCAGGTTTTTTTCCTCCATTACTTGAATTCTAAAGCTCCTAAAATGTATTTCTCTAAAATGTGGATTTTCCTTCTTAGTTATAGAGGTAAGGTTCATGAACTTTTACATGGTTTCACTTTCAGGAATCGATGTTTGGCTTATTTGCTTTCAATATGTTCCCATGTAATGTGATAATTTATAACTACAAAGCAAACTAAAATATAAACGTTTCCATGATTCAGTAAAGTAATTTATATGATTTTGATAGAAAATACTTGTATTCACAAGTTTCCTAACCCAAACCAGTAAAAATACAGCAGCCAACTGCTGTCCATAGCAGGAAAACAGCAGGAAATAGGGAAATCGGAGAGAAAAACACAAGTAGAGGCTTGTATTTCACTAGAAATCAAAGCAAAACAACAAAGATACAATTGTTCTTCGATCCGAGAGGAAGAATGTTCTCCACAATCTCCGGCAAAGCCAAGAGCCCAAGTGCAAACCCTAGATCTCAAATGAAGATTCAAATTCAAGATGCCCTTCAATTTCCCCCCAATCCTCCTAAATAACAATAAAGGAGTTTTACAAAATACCTAAAAGACCCTTCTATTTCAAAATTTCCCTCCCACAATGTTTTTTAACCCCAGCTAGGGCCCACCAAAATCCCGCCCCTTCTCTCTGTTCTCCGCCTGGTTCTGCCCGGCTTTGAGCCGTCGGGTGTAGAACCGGACCGGTCCAGCTGGGACCAGTCCAGGCGTAACAGATTTCGAAAAAAGTAGTAAGGTTGCTAAGCAAATGAAGTTCTTCTGCATTGCATTAATGCTTTAAGAAAATCATTTAATTTTGTCTTTTAATTAAAAAATTGTGGCTTGTGGGGGCCACTTAACGGTTTTATGATGCAAATATGATATTACAGTCCTGAAGCATGGCAGAAAGGTTGATTGCTAAGGTCGCTGAAGCCTTAAGGAGGAAAATGTTGATGGATATGACCCTAGAAGCCTAAAGGATCGTTGATTGATATAGTTATGGAACAGAGTTTGAGAAAAAGCTAATTGTTGCAGTGCTTAGGACTGCATATTGTTGTCGCATCTTAGCTTTCCTTTTTATGGATGATTTCATATGGAAATAACAAAACATGTAGTTGATTCCTATTGAGTAAATGCTAGGACAATTGAATATCACAGTTTTTGACCGGACCTTAGGGGACGCTAAGGAATTTCTTATTTTGGGCCTTCATGAGTCATAAAATTTCAGTTTTGTCAATTTGGTGCATGTGCTAGTTAGATGTAAATTCTTAAAGTGCCTCCTAAGTTGTGATGGTTGATGATTTCATGAGGAAATAACAAAACATGTGCTTTTTTTTTTTTTAACAAAACATGTAGTTGATTCCAATTGAGTAAATGCCAGGAGAATTGAATATCACAGTTTTTGACCTGACCTTAGAGGACGCTAAGGAATTTCTTATTTTGGGCCTTCATGAGTCATAAAATTTCAGTTTTGTCAATTTGGTGCATGAGCTAGTTAGATGTAAAATCTTAAAGTGCCTCATAAGTTTTGATGGTTACTTTCTAGGGCAAATCTCCTTGACAGCACAAGGCATGGATCTTCTTTCTGGTGACTTTTATTTTTATGCTTATTATTAATTTATTTAGTGGTTGGGCGATGAAAGAAATTTAATCAAGTGTGATACATATAAGATTTTGTAAAAACTTCAAATATTGATAGTTGCTGAAATTTTATATAGGTTCATTTTTTGTCTCATGAAAATTTAATTTTTTGTGAATATTAAAGTATTATTTGTAATGAAAGAACTGTGTTTGTAGTTTTATACATTAAAAGTGATTAATTGCTAGAGTTAGGCCTCGTTTGATTAGGCGTATTTCCTCCGTTCTCTGTTTTAATACGTCAAAATCAGTTAGTGTTATTTGTTTGGAATCAAAACTTATTCATAATTACTTTTTAGTAAACGTTGTTTTTTTTGCGGTTACAAAATTTATTTTGTATCTGCTTTTCCGTCACAGAACAGAGTTTTGGAAGCAAAATTTCAAAACTAACCTAGCCACCACGCACCTCAAAGTATGCCTTATTTGATCTTCGTCGTCTTTCTCATAAATAAAGGGTCCTTTAATTCGCTTCACTCACTCCAAAGAAAACCCAAATCTACCATCCATATATCATATTTAAACATCTGGATTAATGTGAATTGACACATTTTGCGATTGTGTTTGTAGTTTATTTGAGAAAATATGTCTTTTATATAATAAAATGGAATTACGAAAATGGTTTTCTTGTTGACAACATAAATTGATTTTCTAGCATAAATATATTTATATAAATTTTACCTTGTAAAATAAAAAAATTTAATTACATATACTTAAATTTAAGTATGGATAATTTAGTCTTTTGTAATAAAATTGTTAAAGTTGAACTCCTAAACAAACAATTTAAATATGCTTTCAAGTATTAATAAGCACTTTTAAAAATATTACTCAAACATATCTCATTATTGAAACTTCATTTTATTTAACAGCTTTTTCTCAACCTCCTTATCTAAAACTCCTTTTTATATAAGCATAAATCGAATCAAACGAAGCCTTAATAAGTGGCAACTTGCGATTAGGTTTTTTTTTTCATTATGAATCTCATCTAAGGTTTTACTAGTAAATCTTATAGCTTCTAAACCATCTTACATCATTTTAGGCAATATTCCCCTCATCTATTTCGTCTCATTTTGTATCTTTCTATAACAATAACAGGTATTGTTATTCAAATTACATATATGACCAATAGAAAATATATAGAAATAAATACAAGAAGCATACAGGTGTATAATTCAGAGCTCTGCATTGGGTACTCATACCCACACCCACCCATGTACCCACCCATACCCATTGGGTATGGGTGGGTATGGGTACGCCCATGGCCTTATAGGTGGGTATGGGTGGGTATGGGTGGGTACTCAACATAAAGGGACCCAACCAGGACCCCATGTAGGGCTTTGGTGTATATATAATGACAGAGAATTTAAAGGGAGATAAACTCCAATCCCGTTAGGACTTGGGAGCAGAATATGCATTTCAAAAACATTCCTTTTCAATATCGGCTCTAAGTTTTCAAAATCAATATCATTATCTTCATAAACTGATGAAACCAATGATGCAGTATAAGATGCATGAATATTATTCTAGTTTTTTTTCCAAAATATTTCTAAAATTTTGGAATATGTCAAGGATTTTCCATTTCAATGTATTTCTTTTTTTAGGATTATCATTATTTTAAATTTGATTAGAGGAACTTTGGGGCTTATTTAGTTATGAATTTAAAATATATTT